GAATTTAAATTGACTGAATATTGGTGTTTTTCTAGTTTGAGTTTCATTTAGTTTAAAGTTTGTTTAAATCTGCAGTTCCCAGGCAGGTTCATGAGCATTTCAAACACAACTGCAGGATCCATCCATGTACAGTCAAACCTGCCTCTCCCCATTATTTCATTTAAGTCTACGTTTACACATAGACGAGTATTTTGACAAACGAATATTTCCCTCCCTCCGTTTTCAAAACGCCCTCGTCTGGAACCAGGACATGGAGGATGGAGCCTCCAGACCATCTGACCAACACTTGGACCCCAGCCCCGTCTTGAGGCGCTGGGCTCTGGTGAGTGTCCAGTGGGTTTAGTGCTGTCGCCTCAACTCAGTTCTTCTGCTCTGGGCTGATGTGGTGAGTTTGTACAAAGTTCTAGGCCTCATGATGCTGTTTTATGAGTTCATGGTGAGAACTTGAGACGAGGCCCGCGGTTTTAACAGGGAAATAAATAAATAAATTCCTTTCGCAATTGGAGGAACATTGGGAACATCGGTCTGACCCTGGTTCAGGTCCGTATGGGACGGCGTCTGGACTTCATCTATATAGTTTTTAAACTAAATTTTAGCCCCCTCAAAATGTTCCTTTTGAAGCTTTTTAGGGGTGTGATGGTTAATCGGGGGTGTCACTCTCCCTGTATCTCACACACTGTCATCATCAGAGCAAAAGTTAAACATTGGTCACACTTTCGGCGCGTCAGCTCCTAAAACTCCATTTACGTCACTTTACACACAAACGTGAAACCGAAGTTTTCCAGAATCTCCACTCTAAACGGAGTTTTTAGAAAGATTCGTTTTCAGAGCTGAATTTGCAGTTTGAGTGTAAAAGATGTGAACAAACAAAGGGAAATGTCTCCGTTTTTAAATATACCCATGTACATGTAAACGGAGCCTAAAACACACACTCACACTCACCACACTCACCACACTCACCACACTCACCACACTCACCACACTCACCACACTCACCACACTCACCACACTCACCACACTCACACACTCACACACTCACCACACTCACACACTCACACACTCACACACTCACACACACTCACCACACACACACACTCACACACACACTCACACACTCACACACTCACACACACCACACTCACCACTCACCACACTCACACTCACCACACTCACACACTCACCACACTCACACACTCACCACACTCACCACACACTCACACACTCACACACTCACACACACTCATCACACACTCACCACACTCACACACTCACACACACTCATCCACACACTCATCACACACTCACACACTCACACACACTCATCACACTCACTCACCACACTCATCACACTCATCACACTCACACACACTCACACACACACTCACACACTCATCACACTCACACACTCATCACACTCACCACACTCATCACACTCATCACACTCCACACACTCACCACACTCACACACACACTCACACTCACACACTCACACACTCACACACTCATCACACACTCACACACTCACACACTCATCACTCACACACTCACACACACACTCACACTCACCACACTCATCACACTCATCACACTCATCACACTCCATCACACTCCACAGGGAAATCTGGAGGTTCTGAGCTTAAACATGAGGCCCGTCCATAAACTGAGAATGAAATCCTTCACCTCTCTGCAGCTGAAGGATCTGGAGAGGTTCAGCTGTGAGTGAAGAACATTCTTAAAAACCACAGACAATTTAAAATCCTTCAGACTTTTACCTTATGAGATTTTCTGTAGAGGAGCTGATTGTCCCGAATGGAAAACCAACATCTGGAAAAAACATGGGACAGGATTTAAAACTGGAACAAGGACTAAACCAGGACTAAACAAAGACTTATAATCATAATAATGTTTTGGGTCCAAACCTCTTCCAGGTCTTGGTTTTCCGGCGGCTCCGTTTGAACAGTTTTCCCTGAAGAGAATCTCCACTGAGCGGACACGGACCTGCCCACGGCTCCCCACACGCATCCTGAAGAACACAAGAACCAGGACTGAACCAGGACTGGACCAGGACTGGACCAGGACCAGGACTGGACCAGGACTGGACAACCAGGACTGGACCAGGACTGGACCAGGACTGGACCAGGACTGGACCAGGACTGAACAGGACTGGACCAGGACTGAACCAGGACTGGACCAGGACTGGACCAGGACTGGACCAGGACCAGGACTGGACCAGGACTGGACCAGGACCTCACCCTCTGCTGGACGAGCTGGTGTCTGTTTTCCAGATCTTTCCTTTTGGCTGAACACTCAGACGACACTCGAGAAATCTGAAAACACAAAACACAACGTTTAACTTTAACAAAATCCGTTTTACGTGACGTTTCAATGTGGAGTCTTGGTTTAGTCCTGGTCCAGTACCTGGTTGGCCATGCTCTACTCCTGGTCTAGTCCTGCTTTAGTCCCGGTTCAGTCCCGTTTCAGTCCCGGTTTAGTCCTGGATTAGTCCTGGTTTAGTCCTGCTTCAGTTCTGGTTTAGTCCTGCTTCAGTCCTGGTCCAGTCCCGGTTCAGTCCTGGTTCAGTCCCGTTTCAGTCCCGGTCTAGTCCCGGTTCAGTCCCAGTTCAGTCCTGGTCTAGTCCTGGTTCAGTCCTGGTTCAGTCTTGGTTTAGTCCTGGTTCAGTCCTGGTTCAGTCCTGGTTCAGTCCTGGTTTAGTCCTGGTTCAGTCCTGCTTCAGTCCTGGTTTAGTCCTGGTTCAGTCCTGGTTCAGTCCCGTTTCAGTCCCGGTCTAGTCCCGGTCTAGTCCCAGTTCAGTCCTGGTCTAGTCCTGGTTCAGTCCTGCTTCAGTCCTGGTTCAGTTCTGGTTTAGTCCTGCTTCAGTCCCGGTTCAGTCCTGTTTCAGTCCTGTTTCAGCCTGGTTCAGTCTTGGTTCAGTCCTTGTTCCATCCTGGTTCAGTTCCGGTTCAGTCCTGGTTCAGTCCTGGTTCAGTCCTGGTTCAGTCCCGGTCCAGTCCTGGTCTAGTCCTGTACCTGGTTGGCCATGGTCTTGATGTTGGGCTCCAGGTCTCTCAGGAGGTCGAAGCCCTGGTGGAAGAAGGTGCTCTGGGCCTGAACGTACGAGAAGATCTGAGGAAGAACCAGAGACGTCAGGAAGTTCTACTGTGATGGAGTCAGACGTCTGAGGCTTCGAACTTCACCACGAAATCTCCAAAAAGTCAATTCAGGTCAGTTCTGAAAAATCAGGGCCGTGTCTAATCCAATCAGCAAAAGTCCTGCAGTCCTGGTTCTGAATAGATAAACGTCTTCCATGGACTGGGACAAACCGGTTCCCCCTGAATCTGTGTTTTTTTTAATCATTTTTAGCTTTTTGCATTTTAGCACTTTTCATTTATTGTTTTTATTTATGATTCACTGTTAAAATGTGCTGTAGAAATAAAGTGGACTGGATAAACACTGCAGCAGAAAAAAAGAGAATAGCCCCGGACCGTGCTCCTGTCAGGGCATAGTGTGGAGGAGTGTACAAAAAAACAACAACAACAACAACAACAACACCTCTGCGACATGAGCACAGACAAAACACAGAACAGACGCTTCACAGGACGAGCAGGAGGGTCCGGTCGGGTTGGGGAGGGGGGTGGAGTGAACCCGACGAGGGCAGCAGCATCCGGATCCACGACAGACCCGCCCACCACCACCGGGAGGGGCAAAGCTGTGAGGGGGAGTTGAGACCTTGAGACCAGAGCTGCTGTGGACGACCGATGAGATAAAACTCGTGTTGTTTGGTTTTGGAGCAGCTGCTTTTTCACTTTCCACAACTGAACCTTTTAAACATTTATTTCTCTCAAGTCCATTTTCTTTCTCCAAGATTTTATCCAGTATTGTGATTTAGAGCCACATTGTCCATCTAACCAGCAGAACCCGGCTCATAGTCACAGGTTCAAGCGCTCGAAGCTCTGCCCCTCGTCTCAGCCAAGAAGCTTTGAACAGCCGCCTCAGTAATCTGAATTTTCAAAAGAACCAGGGCCATGAATAATCCAGTCAGTAAAAGTCCTGCAGTCATGTTTCTGAACAGGTAAATGTCTTCTAACTCCTCCACGGACCAGAGCAAACAGATTTCCCCCTGAACTTGCGATCCTCATCGAAAAAAAAAGATTTAAATTGTGTTTAGAGACCAACTTATCAAATCCATCGTTAATTTAGGTTCAGAAGAGCAGAGAGTCTCACAAGTGAAGGACACTAGAGCAGGGATCTCAAACCTGTAGCTCAGGAGCTGTCAGTGTCTCCATCCCCTCCCAAGAAGCTCACAAAGGATTTGTGGATTATATCTACATGTACATGTGTGTGAATCTGATTCATCAACACTGTAAATGTGTAACTTTGATTTTTGACTTGTGCACTAAGATAATGGTTTATAATCTGTGTGTCAGTCGTTTATTTGTTTTTCAATATAAACCAAAAATAAGAAAATGAAAAAACAACACTTTTCTTCATTATTTGTCTCCAAAACCAAAATGAAAAAACAGATCATGATTTGTTTTTTCAGTTTTCGATTTTGGGTTTAAATGAAAAATGGAAAAAAAACAGATAACGACTGTTTCCTGTTTACGTGACTTCAGTGAGTGTGATGTCGGACTGAACCAGGACTGATCCAGGTCCAGGACCAGACCAGGACTGAGACAGAGACCACACCGAGACTGAGATCAGGACTGAAACCAGACCAGGACCAGACTGGGACCAGACCGAGACCGGGACCAGACCGGAGGCTCAGAGCCCACAGCAGGGCCGGAGCTCGAAGCTGAGGCTCAGAGTCAAAGCTCGGAGTCCACTCTGGTCCTGGTCTGGTCCTGGTCCTGGACCTGTCCTGGATCAGTCCTGGTTCAGTCTGTATGCATTGCAAAAGTTTGGAGTTCGCACTCACAGAAGTCATGTAAACCGTTATCTGTTTTTTCATTTTGGTTTTGGAGACAAATAATGAAGAAAAAACTGTTGTTTTTTCATTTTCTTATTTTTGGTTTTATATTGAAAAACAAATGAACGAACGACACACAGACTGTTTATGTTTAACAGGCGTCTAACTGTTCCCCGTCTAAGGCTCTCCAGCTCTTCTTCATTTCTTCGTTTTCTGGTGATCGCTAAAATGAGCAGCTCTGTGGTATTTTTGTTTAATAAAAGGAGCAAAGGAGGAAAACGTCTGGAGTCTCCTGCACAAACACCAGACGAGACAAAGAAACAAAACAGGAAAACACGAGGCAGGAGAGAAAAGAGTCCGACCTCGTCAACAGACAAACGAGACGAGACTTTACTTCTGCAGGGAGAGTGACGTCGTTGTTTGTACGTAAACCTCCAGCAGAGGGCGCTGTACTCACTGAGTTGAGGATGTCGGCTCTTTGCTGCGTCCTGAAGGAGTTCAACTGTGGAGAACAACACCAGGTCAGAGTTAAACCAGTGTTGATCATGTGTCTGTGTTTGTTAGTAGTAGCTGCAGTAGTAGTAGTAGTATTAGTAGTAATAGTAGTAGTATTAGTAGTAGTAGTAATAGTAGTCAGTGTTGGGGAGTAACAGATTACATGTACCAGAGTAATGTAATCAGAGTACAAATGATGAGTAACTGTATTCAGTTACAGTTACTGGTAATTGGATTACAGTTACTTTCTTGAAATAAATGGATTACACAGAAGGATTTTACTGTTTTTACATTTTGGGCTAAACCAGGACTAAAAGGACTAAACAGGACTAAACCAGGACTAAACCAGGACTAAACAGGACTAAACCAGGACTAAACCAGGACTAAACCAGGACTAAACCAGGACTAAACCAGGACTAAACCAGGACTAAAACCAGGACTAAACCAGGACTAAACCAGGACTAAACCAGGACTAAAACCAGAAAAACCAGGACTAAACCAGGACTAAACCAGGACTAAACCAGGAACTGAAACGGAACAAAAACCAGGACTAAACCTGGACTAAAACAGAAATAAAACCAGGACTAAACCAGGACTAAACCAGGACTAAACCAGGTCTAAACCAGGACTAAACCAGGACTAAAACAGGACTAAACCAGGTCTAAACCAGGACTAAACCAGGTCTAAACCAGGACTAAACCAGGTCTAAACCAGGACTAAACCAGGACTAAACCAGGACTAAACCAGGACTAAACCAGGACTAAACCAGGACTAAATCCTGCTGTGTGGACGTGTTTCTTCATTTTCTATCAATAATATTTTTTATTTGGTTCAGTGAAGTTTGGACTTTTTATTTTCTTTTATCAGACAAAACTTCTTATGTGAAGATTTCCTCGTCTTTGTTTCTCTACAACAAATCAAGTAATCCAAAGTAATCAGATTACATTACTCACTTTAAGTCATTTAATGGATTCTGTTACAAACTACATGTTGGTGTGTGTAATCTGTAATCTGTAGGGGATTACATTTTAAAAGTAAACTTCCCAACACTATTAGTAGTAGTAGTACTGTAGTAGTAGTAGTAGTAGTACTGTAGTAGTAGTATTGTAGTAGTATTAGTAGTATTGTAGTACCTGCAGGCAGTAGTCCAGGGCGAAGTGTTGGTAGCACTTCCTGGTGGCGAGCAGCAGGTGTGAGCTCCTCTCGGCTTCAGCGGGCTTCACTCTGGAGACCTGAGCGTTCTTCAGACTCACAGACTCCAGGTCGTCCCCGATCCTCACGAACTCCCTCCTGCAGTCGGCCAGAGGCGGCAGGAACCTGACGAGACACTTTCAGATCAGCGTCTTTGTTCTTCTGTGTGTGTGGAACTTAAAGTGTGAAGTTTGTTCTAAGTGAAACGTGTGGGCGTCATTACTGGGAGCAGAGGTTGGAGAGCTGCTGACCGATGGCCCTCTGAGTCTGATCCAGAAACATCTGCAAAAAACAAAAAACTACATCATCCTCAAAGTCATTCTGGACATTTCTTCATGATGGTTTAATAAAACTCACAGTGTGGAAGCTGAGGATTTCACTCAGAGCCTGATGGAACTGCTCCAGACAACCCTGAGGAACACAGAGGAACACAGAGGAACAGAGGAACAGAGGAACAGAGGAACACAGAGGAACACAGAGGAACAGAGGAACAGAGGAGAGCAGAAGAACACAGAGGAACAGAGGAACAGAGGAGAACAGAGGAACACAGAGGAACAGAGGAGACAGAGGAACACAGAGGAGAACAGAACACAGAGAGAGTAAAGAGAACAGATTAGAGGAGAACAGAGGAAACAGAGTCAGAGGAACAGAGGAACACAGAGGTGAGGAACACAGAGTTTGTTTTTAGGACCTGAGAGTCGATAGATAAAGACGTTTATTTTTCTGGTGGTTGTTGGTTTTTCGGCTGCTGCGTCTGAAACAGGCCTGGCAGCTAAACTACCACACTACTACTACTTCTTTCTGCACATTCTGCCGATAAAACGATTCTCACGATTTTATAAAACGCCCCAACTCCACAACGTTCAGCTCCAGTCAAACGAAGCTCAACGAGGCCAGCAGTTACAGGAGCAAATCTGGCGCCAGGTCCAGATTAGGAAAAGGAATTTATTTACGGACAAAGTAGCGGAATGAAAACCCCAGGGTCATGTAGAGTTAATACGAACATTTTAGGATCTAAATAACGAGGCACGTCAAACACAGAGGCAGGAGCGACTCACTGTGATGACGCCGTCTTTGTGGTAAAACCCGCACAGCTCCTTTAAGCCGCTCAGGAACTGCTGATTGGTCGAGTTGTACGATTGTCCCGCCTCCACCAGACGCCCGCAAAGTTTCACCACCTGCAGCCAAAAAAAACAAAAATGAAAAACAGACGAAAAACAGACGAAAATGAATAACAGACGAAAAACAGACGAAAAACAGACGAATAACAGACGAAAAACAGACGAAAAACAGACAAAAATAACAGACAAAAAACAGACGAAAAACAGACGAAAAACAGACGAAAACAGACGAAAAACAGACGAAAACAGACGAATAACAGAGAAAAACAGACGAAAAACAGACGAAAACAGACGAATAACAGACGAAAAACAGACGAAAAACAGACGAAAAACAGACGAATAACAGACGAAAAACAGACGAATAACAGACGAAAAACAGACGAAAAACAGACGAAAACAGATAACAGACGAAAAACAGACGAATAACAGACGAAAAACAGACAAATAACAGACGAAATAACAGACGTTTTACAATAAAAAACTTTCATTTTTTAAACCTTTATTCTTTAAGGTCATACGGATTTAATCTGGAGAGAGTTTTGGTTCTGGCCTCAAGTCAATCCTGGTTTAGTCCTGGTTCAGTCCTGGTTCAGTCTTGGTTTAGTCCTGGTTTAGTCCTGGTTTAGTCCTGGTTTAGTCCTGGTTCAGTCCTGGTTTAGTCCTGGTTTATTCTTGGTTTAGACCTGGTTTAGTCCTGGTTTAGTCCTGGTTTATTCTTGGTTTAGTCCTGGTTTAGTCCTGGTTTAGTCCTGGTTTAGTTCCTGGTTTAGTCCTGGTTCAGTCCTGGTTTAGTCCTGTTCCTGGTTTAGTTCTCTGGTTCAGTCCTGGTTTAGTCTTGGTTCAGTCCTGGTTTAGTCTTGGTTTAGTCCTGGTTTATTCTTGGTTTAGTCCTGTTCCTGGTTTAGTCCTGGTTGGTTTAGTCCTGGTTTAGTCCTGGTTTAGTTCCTGGTTTAGAGTCCTGGTTTAGTCTGGTTTAGTCCTGGTTTAGTTTTAGGTCCTGGTTTAGTCCTGGTTCCTGGTTCAGTCCTGGTTCAGTCCTGGTTCAGTCCTGGTTCAGTCCTGGTTTAGTCCTGGTTCAGTCCTGGTTTAGTCTTGGTTTAGTCCTGGTTTATTCTTGGTTTAGTCCTGGTTTAGTCCTGGTTTAGTCCTGGTTTAGACCTGGTTTAGACCTGGTTTAGTCCTGGTTTAGTCCTGGTTTCTCTGGGGACTTGTACCTTTTCCAGAGCTGTTTCCAGGTGACAGACTTCAGCCTCAAACTGGTCCAGGCTCCGTCTGAAACACAAAATTAAACATGTCTCATTATTAAGTCTGAAGAACAGAAAACACCAACAAACTTTATTTTTAAAGCGATTTTCCTACAAAAAATGCCACATTCAGAATCAGACTTTAGACTTTAGTTGTGTCAAATCTAAACTCTCCGACTAAAAGAGCACAGATCCACAGGACAATTGATCCTCCAGTAACGTCCCGGTGCGGAAGAAACATTATTCAAACATTTACAGGAATCTGGGCAGAGCTCGTTTCTACAGACCCAGATGTGAATATCAAATAAAACTCCACCAGAGAAGAGAAAGAAACAACTGAAACACTCAAATCTTTACATTAAATCATCATCTTTATTATCTTTATACCAGGACTAAACCAGAACTACTGTAAATCTTTACATAAATATCATCAGCTACAGTGTGAATTTCCTGTTATAATTGTGATATTTTATTTATACAGCGTCTTTCTAAACAAAAATACATAGATTTCTACACATGGAAACAAAGTAAAATACGATGTAATGAAATGAAAATGTTAAAATCAAATATTAAATCCAAAGTAATCTGTGTGTCGTTCATTCATTCATTTTTCAATATAAAACCAAAAATAAGAAAATTAAAAATCAACAGTTTTCTTCATTATTTGTCTCCAAAACCAAAATGAAAAAACAGATAATGATTTGATTTTTTTCAGTTTTCGAATTTTGTGTTTAAATGAAAAATGGAAAAAAACAGATAACAGTGGTTTCCTGTTTACGTGACTTCAGTGACTGTGATGTCGGACTGAACCAGGACTGATCCAGGTCCAGGACCAGACCAGAACCAGACCAGGACCAGACTGGACTCCGAGCTTTGACTCTGAGCCTCAGCTTCGAGCTCCGGCCCTGATGTGGGCTCTGAGCCTCCGGTCCGGTCCTGGTCTGGTCCCGGCCTGGTCTTAGGTCGTTTTCACACCGCTAGTTCGATTATTTGGTTCGCACCAGGCAATACAATTGTTATTATGTAGCAAATACACTCCAGTGTGTCGCGTTCACACCGGCAAACGAACCAAAACTGGTTCGATTGACGTGTCTCTGTTTCCCGGTAAAACAGCGATACTCCAGTTATCAACACCGATGTTCCTGTTAATTTGAGATGAGGATGGCCCGTGGTATTAACACCATGAACTCATAAAACGGCAACATGTAGAACTTTGTACAAACTCACCGCATCAGCCTAGAGTTCAGGTAACAGCAGCAGCCAACAGCTCCTCAGGACGGGGCTGGGGTCTGGTCCTTGGTCTGTTACAAGCTCGTTGGTCAGATGGTCCGGAGGCTCTGTCCTCCATGTGCTGGTTCCAAACGGTGGCGAGCAAGACCAGTGCTTGATGGACTGAGTCCGAGCGAGTACTTTCAGTCGTCTGCGCGCTGTTTCCGTGCGGGAAAAGTGAGAATGTTCTGTGGACCACAGGTCCGTGCTGCTCCGGTTCTCCGCGCTCAAGAACCACGGCTGGTTCCGAGGTGGTGCAGCATCCGGACAGAAGCGTGAGTCCAGTTTGGTTTGTTCTATGTTGTTCTGAGCGTCCGTCCTCTGTGCATTTGGTTCTTCCCGGGGAAAGTTCTTCCTCAGGTCGAGGCTCCCCGCTCCAGCTCCTCTGAGCCCGGACTGAACCGGACCTGCTCCCGCTGGTTCAGGACTCTGGTTTGGATCTAGTCCGACTGTATTTCTCACACGAGGCTAAAAACAGGGACTTTTTTAAGTTGTATCAATTGAATGGGCGATTGCCTATTGCCATGAAATTATTTGGTTAATTAAAGCCTAAAATAACAAATGTTGGTTGCTGTGTGATCACGGGGGACACCGGGTCGTCTCTGTGCGTGCAGGTCCTGAACAGAAGTACACACCCCCAACTTTGACTCACTCTGGAGCCACACGTTTCGCACACTGGTTCTTGCTCTGATCTTCGTGTGTTTCATTCTCTGTATTGGCCATTGTTGGTAAAATGATTCGAAAATGAATCGCGTCTGCGTCTGGACAACAGTCTGTTACTGCGCTGGAGTCGTACAGCGTCATTTCAGGCAGAGGAGACGCGTTTCTCCCATGATGCATTTGGAATAGTCCGTTTGTCCATAACGTCTATGGTTTGGACCCGGGTTCACGTTCACACCAGAGGAACCGCACCAAAGTTGGTCATTTGGTGGATTCAAGCGAACCGAGACCACCTCTTTTTTGCGGTCTCGGTCCGCTTGATTTGGTTCGGGTCCGAGTTCGATTGACGCTTTCACACAACGCAAACGAACCGAACTCACCACTTTTGGTTCGAATGGACCGTTTGGTTGCAACAAATACTGTCGGTCTGGTCCCAGTCTCAATCCCGGTCTGGTCCTGGACCTGGATCAGTCCTGGTTCAGTCACTGAAGTCACGTAAACAGGAAACGGTCGTTATCTGTTTTTTCCATTTTTCATTTAAACACAAAATCGAAAACTGAAAAATCGAATCATTATCTGTTTTTTCATTTTGGTTTTGGAGACAAATAATGAAGAAAACTGTTGTTTTTTCATTTTCTTATTTTTGGTTTATATTGAAAAACAAATGAATGAACGACACACAGATTGAGATACAGAAAATATATCATTTCTGTATTTACTTGTTGTGTTTTAGGGGGTCACGTTGTTTTTAAAATGCTGAGCTGTGAGACGACGGAGCAAAAACATTCCTGTTAAATAAATCATATAAACTGTATCTCCAGCTCCGTACTCCTGCCCACGGCTAAAACACAAGTAAATATACAACAGAAAGTATCAGGACAAACAATAAAACTGAAACTACGAGGGACCAGGTCTGACCCGGGACCAGGTCTGACCCGGGACCAGGTCTGACCCGGGACCAGGTCTGACCCGGGACCAGGTCTGACCCGGGACCAGGTCTGACCCGGGACCAGGTCTGACCCGGGACCAGGTGAGAAAAGCCCAGCTGCAGGTGAAGCGTCGGGCAAAACCAGAGGAAACCAGACACGGGCAGAATATGCAAACTCCACCGAGTCCGGGAATGAAACTCTGCACGTTCCTGTTGTAAGACGACACTTCTGCTCCAACATCATCACCAAACATCGAACCACCAGCAAAGACAAACTAAAACTATTGTTCCACCATGTGACAATAAACTGAACTGTCTCACATTTATTCATTTCTACTGTTTAAACAGAACTTCATAAATATACAGTCTAACTTACGGTGAGCAGATTTTCTAAATAAAAAACTGGGAGACTCTCGGTTTGAGGTGATTTGTAAAAACAAAATTGTAAATCGAGTTTGTAATGAAGGAAAGTTGTTCTGCACTCGGTTCATTCATGACCAACATGAGTCAGGATCATCACATTTTATTTGTGTTTTATTCGTTTTTTAAGCAGGTTTTATCTAAAAATCTGTCAGTTTGAGTCTCTGTTTCCTGTTGGTCAAAAACACAGACATCAGGGACATTTGTTGTATAAAACAGAGACAAATCAGTGGTTTTAGACACTTTGGCGTTTTTTTCCAACATTCTGCCGACACAAGAGAGAGAATTATTAAGTTGGGGTTTTTCAGGACAATATTTTCACAAACTGGTGTAGGTTTAGTCCAGGTTAAATCTTGTTTTAGTCCTGGTTTAGATCTGGTTTAGACCGGATTTTATTCCTGGGTTTAGTCCTGATTTTAGTCCTGGTTTAGACCTAGTCCAGTCCTGGTTTAGTCCTGGTTCAGTCCTGGTTCAGTTCTGGTTTAGTCCTGATTTAGTCTTGGTTTAGTCCTGGTTTTAGTCCTGGTTTAGACCTTGTCCAGTCCTGGTTTTAGTCCTGCTTTAGTCCTGGTTTAGACTTGGTTTAGACCTGGTTCAATCTTGGTTCAGTCCTGGTTTAGACCGAATTTTAGTCCTGGTTTAGATAGACCTTGTCCAGTCCTGGTTTAGTCCTGGTTCAGTCCTGGTTTAGATCTGGTTTAGACCGGATTTTAGTCCTGCGTTTAGTCCTGGTTTAGTCTTGGTTCAGTCCTGGTTTTGGTCCGTTATTCGTTTTTCCATTTTTCATTGAAACACAAATCGGAAAATTGAAAAAAATGAATAATTTTCTGTTTTTTTCATTTTGGTTTTGGAGACAAATAATGAAGAAAATAGTTAAGATTTGATTTTTATTTTGTTTTTTGAAGTGCATTTCAGTTCATTTTTTGTTTTTATTATTATTTAATGCCCTCCTGCGGAACATTTTAGACAAATACCAGCCCCCGTTTTGAATAAAAGTGATAAAAATCCGTAATACATTTTTTAAAAAGTAGGAGGCGCCGTGTCAAATGTCAACACACGTAAAGGAGGATGTAGGAAAGGAGGTAGGAGACAGGAAGGATGTGAAGGAGGATGCGCTTCCTCCACACTACGCATGCGCACGGGCTCCCGTTACGCACCTTCTTCATTCTGACAAAGTTTCCCCCAAAGTTTCGTGGTGCTGTTTTACCTGAAGCGCGGCGTGTCTTTGACGCACTCCTCAAACTCCAGCAGCGGGTCCATGTTTGGGTGCGTGCGCGCGTCCGTGAGCAGCCGCAGCCCGCCGTGCGCGCTCACAAAAGCCGCAGGGCGCTGACGGGGCAGGTCATGTCGAGGTGCGGGGGTCCGTGCGCGCGCAGAGACGTGCGGGGGTTTTTTTGGTGCGGGGGTTTCGGTGAACAGCTGTCGCGGGACGAGCAGCGGGACGAGCGTTACTACGGAGCCACGCAAAACATCCGGGTCACGCGCACACACCGGAGACACAGCGGGGCCTAGGAGCGCGGCGTGGAAGTGCACAGAGTCAGATGCCCTCCCACACGTCCCCGTTCATCCGGGACACTCCCAGATTTGACCAACAGATTTACACAAAACCACTGATCTGTCCACGTTTATACAACAAATAACAGATTACATGTACCGGAGTAATCAGAGTACAAATGATGAGTACCTGTATTCAGTTACAGTTACTGTTTCAGTGAGTGGGAATTGGATTACAGTTACTTTGTTGAAATAAATGGATTACACATTTCGGGCTATATCCTTTTTTTTTTTTTTTTCCCCCAGTAATTCCACTCATTGGCAGAAACTAAACCAGGACTAAACCAGGACTAAACCAGGACTAAACCAGGTCCAAACCAGGACTAAACCTGGACTAAACCAGGACTAAACCAGGTCCTAAACCAGGAAAAACAGGACTAAACCAGGACTAAACCAGGTCTAAAACAGGACTAAACCAGGACTAAACCAGGTCTAAAACAGGACTAAACCAGGACTAAACCAGGTCTAAAACAGGACTAAACCAGGACTAAACCAGGTCTAAACCAGGTCTAAACCAGGACTAAACCAGGACTAAACCAGGTCTAAAACAGACTAAACAGGACTAAACCAGGTCTAAAACAGGACTAAACCAGGACTAAACAGGACTAAACCAGGTCTAAACCAGGACTAAACCAGGTCTAAAACAGACTAAACCAGGACTAAACCAGGTCTAAACCAGGACTAAAACAGGACTAAATCCTGCTGTGTGGACGTGTTTCTTCGTCTTTTATCAATAATATTTTTAATTTGGTTCAGTAAAATCTGGACTTTTTATTTTCTTTTATCAGACAAAACTTCTTATGTGAAGATTTCCTCGTCTTTGTTTCTCTACAGCAAATCAAGTAATCCAAAGTAATCAGATTACATTACTCACTTTAAGTCATTTAATGGATTCTGTTACAAACTACATGTTGGTGTGTGTAATCTGTAATCTGTAGGGGATTACATTTTAAAAGTAAACTTCCCAACACTGACTGTTGCAGGGTCAGATTGGTCAAAAATAGAGACACCTGGGACATTTCTTCAGTGTTGGGAAGTTTACTTTTCAAATGTGTAATCCCCTACAGATTACAGATTACACACACCAACATGTAGTTTGTAAAATAATCCATTAAATGATTTAAAGTGAGTAATGTAATCTGATTACTTTGGATTACTTGATTTGCTGTAGAGAAACAAAGACGAGGAAATCTTCACATAAGAAGTTTTGTCTGATAAAAGAAAATAAAAAGTCCAGATTTGAATTTACTGAACCAAATTAAAAATATTATTGATAGAAAACGAAGAAACACGTCCACACAGCAGGATTTAGACCTGGTTTAGTCCTGTTTTAGTCCTGGTTTAGTCCTGTTTTAGTCCTGGTTTAGTCCTGGTTTAGTCCTTGTCCATATTTCAGTATTTTTGCACAACACAAGAAATGATCAGGAACAAAAAACATTTGTGGATTTGACTTTTAGAGATTTTTAAGTTTAGAAAACTTCAGGAATCTAAAGAGAAACTTCTGACCATCTCCTCCTCTTCATCCTCTCTTCATCCTCTGTTCCTCTCTTCTGCTCCTCTTTTCCTCTCCTCTTTATCCTATGTTCTCCTCTTTTCTTTTCCTCTTCTTCATCCTCTCCTCTTTTCCTCTCTTCTGCTCCTCTTTTCCTTTGCTTTCCTCCTCTCTTCTACTCCTCTTCTCTTTTCTTTTTCTGCTCCTCTTTTCCTCTCTTCTGCTCCTCTCCTCTTCATCCTCTTCATCCTCTTCATCCTCTTCATCCTCTGCTCCTCTCATATCATTTTCATCCACGTGTCTTGATTCTGGCGTCATAAACTCCACATCCACATCAATATGTTGAAAATAAAACATTTATTTGATTCTTACAAGAACAAAAAAAAACACGGTCGCGCTTGAACAAAAGTCTGAGCGAAATGAGAAAAACCTCGAGATGTAAAAACGGCACAAACGAAACCGGACTTTATTTTGGGAACGAGATGGAGACGAGGATCACAGTGACGTTATCGGCGCAGCCCCGTCTCACCGCCTCCGACGCCAACTGCTGACACGCCGAGTCCAAGACCGAGTCCAGACCGGGGTCCAGACCGGGGTCCAGACCGGGGTCCAGACCAGGGTCTACGCTGGGGTCTTTCTGCTCCTCTGAACCTTCTCCACCCTGGAAAACAAGAAAGAGAAAGAAGTTAAATGAAGTGAAGACAGGTGAGAGTCTCAGATGTGTGACCTGGTTTATGGTTCAGATCTTTATCATTTCTGGGTCTATTCACATGAAACAAAAACTGGCACAAAGTTCAGCTTCTTCTCTGTCTGGAGAAATAAACTCAAGTTGCACGATTTTTTCACAAACACTTCAGAAATTGTGCAACCGAGTGTGAAGCAGCTGGGATGAAGATCAGCTCCTCAGAGTCCGAGGCCGTGGTTCAAGTTCAGGTTAGTTTAAGAGTTCAAGTACCGTATTTTCCGGGTTATTAGTCGCTCTGGATTATAAGGCACACTGTTATTAAACGGTCTATTTTCAAACTTTTTTCCCCAAATAAACTTTAAAGGAAACCCAACAGTGTGATGTGTGAGTGGTTTTGTTTGTTTGTTCTCAGTGACTCTGGGCTTTGTTCAGTTGTGGCGTGTAGGGAGGGTGTGTCTGGGACCAGCGGATTGTCGTCGTGTTCGCAGTGACTCAGTTGTTCACATGCACCTGAAGTGACCCAAATCTGATTTTTTGTCTCTATGTTTCTGTATCTGATCTTTTAATGACGTCTGAACCACACAGATGTGATGTTTTCAAACATGACCCAGGACACTTGGATCTGTGCTCCTGAAACTGATCCATATCTGATCTTTAACATGTGACTTGAGTGTGAACAGTCAGGTCACATTCATCCACCTACACGTCATCAACAAGACACAAACGTCACTATTCTGCACTGAAGTAGAGAAAACTGTTCATGATCCATGTGACTGAAGTGAAGCACATCTCCACTCACCACAAAACACCACCACCAAAAACCTGCTCCTTCTCCTTCTCAATCTCCTCCTTAAAACAAGTCAGTTGTTCATGTTGTGGCTCCGGTACGAGAGGAACTTTAAAATCTCCAGGTGCTCGATGCTGCGTCCATGTTTGTTCAACTTGTGTAAACACAGAGACGCTCGCTGCGGTTGACGTCGTCGTGTCTCCAGTGTCACATGTGGGACACTTTTGGACCGTTTAATGTTCACACTGGAGTCACACACAAGTCACATTTAACTGGAAATGTGAACGCACCTCGAAAAAACATCGGATTTCACAAAAAAATCGGAATTGAGCGTTAAACCTGCAGACTGAACGTAGCCTCAGTTGTTCAGTCGTGTCTAGAAGTGGGACGTCGCGCTCGCTTTTTTCCGTTCGTTCCTCCGTTCCGTTCTTCGTCGGCGTGGAGTGATGAGTGTGTCTGTGTGTTGCTGTGCGGTCTCTGTCTGCTCCGTGTGTGTTTGTGTGTTCTGTGTGTGTTTGTGTGTTTGTAGTTTACTGAAGTCGTGCTGGGACACCCGAGTGGATTCGTGTATGGGGGGCTCTGGATTGTGGGGCGCGGCCGTTTTTTGATGCGGATAGAGGCGTAAGAGCGCATCTAATAGCCCGGAAAATACGGTAATTTAAAAATAAAAATAGCTTTTGGACATCAGACATGTGAGTGTGTGCATTTTTTTTTCACTTTAACAAACGGCAAACAAACAAACCGACAA